TTCGCTTATATTTTGCGCTTGTAGACCGATCCTCTCCCTTGTTGGTATCAGAGCCATAGACGTATGGTAGCTTAAATATTTTCTGTTGATTTATATGAAGATTTATTACTAACTCTTGTTGCTTATGTAATTGTGATTTAATTATGTTAGACTACTATTACTAGGAAATTGTGAATTTAATCTTGTTATAATAATGCTACTTTGGGATTTTATTGTTTGTTAAAATTTTGTTATGATGATGATTCTTTGTAGTTTCCTATGGTTTTGCCTTCAACGTAGAGTATTAGGGATGGTGTTAGTCCGTTTTCTGTAAGATAGGAGTGTTAGGCCGTTTGTATTCCCTTTGAGCGTCGATAGAGTTGATTGCAAAAATAGGATGTTGAAAAAAATCATTATAGCAAGATTTTGCCAACAATAGGATGCTGAGAAGATTATTATACCATGATTATTGTAGCAAAAGTCACAGTAACATTACTGTACCAGAATTAAAAGATGAATTACAGTAGTAACTAGAAGAAGGTAATTGTGCAACATATAAGTTAACAGAACACCCTTTGAGATACCGCTATGACTTTAAATCTATTTAAATTTAAATTTAATTATAAAGATGATTATGTTAAAAAAAATGGAAGAAATAGAATTCTCTGATACTTAAAATAAATTGTAGAACTAGGATATACCCAGTACCCCACTAAGAAAATCTATAATATAGGCACTTTTGATTTTACATCGAGTTTAACTATCAAAACGATTGAAAGCACTATTCTTTTTTATTAGAATGAAGATATTTTATAACTTTTAATTGAAAGAGAAGTCTTAAAGGCTCAAAATAATAATTATAAATTTCTGCATATTGAATTAGTTCAAGTTGCTTTAAAACCTTTAACTCTTCAAGGATTAAATGTCTCTTTTATGTTAGCACTAAGAGATGCTAGATGTCTTAATTTTGATCAATCTTTAATGGGAGTTATGAAATCCAGCTTAAGTATTGGTCTTGTTTATTTTAACTATTTTCCTAATCTTTCTGTATTTTTAACATATAAGAATATTTTAGATGTTTTAACATGCAATATTAAAACTTATGGTTACAATTATAAAGATGACACAAATATAATTGTGTTTGCTTATAGAGTATATTATAAAATTATGAATATTTTATGTCCTGAAGCTAAACTTCTCAACCTTAAAGGTTAAACAACTTTAATTGAAACAAACAAAATTAAAAATTTGAGATGTGGTCGAGATGCGGTGTTGGGGGTTGTCTGGAGGGCGGTGATCCACAAGTCGGGCCTGCACCCCTTTATATAGAAGTCGGGCATGAAATCTAGATTTCAAAACTATCATATACTATTCACAACTTTATACTGTTCACAAATTTAATAATTTGCAATGACGTCATTGTATACGTCATAAATACTGTACACTATTCATAGTCTTTATTGTAATGTCAGGGCGTGCATCGCCTCTTCATATAGTGACATCAGGGCCTGGTGGAAGAGCCCAAGTCAATGCTTATACATATTTTACCATTGTATTTTTATATGAAATTAATGTATACATAATATATGTATATATAAAAAGATAGACAAATAAGATACATCTTAACACAAATAATTAACTTTTCATCCACTTTTCTTCCGATTTTGGAATGATTGATTTTGGTGAGTTGGAAGGAAAATTAATTCATCCACTTTTTCATCCTTCTTATTTTTCTTCCTTACCAAACATGATGTTTTATTTATTGCTCCAACTTTTCATCTTTTCATTTTTCTATCATCTCAAACAGAGCATAATACACATTGCTCGTAGTATTTCAATTGACTCAAAGGTGCCAACCATTGACTTGGATTCAATTCAACGGTTCATATTGTGGCTTGCAGTTAGAGGACCCCTTAAGGTTAGTTGGCATAATTGTATTATATATAGGCCTGTCAAAATCCGACACGACACGATTAATTGACACAAATTAACTGGGTTTGAATGAGACTTTAACGGGTTCGGGTGATAAACGGATTAACCCGTTAAACATGTTTAATACGGGTTGTGTTCGGATGAGACCTGCCAACCCATTTATCACCCGTTTACTCGTTTAAAAAATTAATATAATAAAAAATTAATAATTATTTTAAAAAATTTAGTCAAAAATGTTGGAGGCTGCGATGGTGCTTGGTTTGAGCATGGTCTGAATTTCAGACCCCTTGCATTGTTGGAGGCTGCAGTGGTGCTTAGTCAAAATGTTCGAGGCTACAATGAGCTTGGTCTAAGCATTGTTGGAGGCTGCGGTGGTGCTAGGGTGAACACAGTGATGATATTCTTGGTCTGAGCATGGTCTGAGTTTCAGGTAGTGGATGGTATTCTTGATGTTACAAAGTCTTATTGTGGATCTGCACAGTGAACACAGTGAAAGCTTTTAGCTTGAATACCACATCAACAAATTTAAATGAAGGAGACCTTCCATGCCTATAAAAGGCTGCAATCCTTTTCTTTAGTCATTCAACCTTCTCACTTGCTTTTGCAAGTGGTAGCCAACTGAAAATCTTTTAATTGAGGGAGTTTAATTGTTGTGTGTAACTAATGGAGTTTAAAATTTTAATAGAATAGTTTTTTGGTGTGGGTTAAAATTTTAATAAAATTAAACATGTTAAACGAGTCGTGTCGTGTTACCCGTTTATTAAATAGTTTGTGTTCGTTTTTAAGTTTTTTACCCGTTTATTAAATGTGTTGTATACAGGTTTATATATTTTTTACCCGTCACCCTTTTAACCCTATATGTAATCGTTTAACCCGACATGTTTGACACCCCTAATTACAGACTTCTAGTTGGGATTTTTTGCAATTCAACTGCTGAGACAATATTATAAATGCAATTCCCTGATTCAACACTATTTGTAAGTATGTTGTTAAATCAATTTTTGATTTGAATCCGAACGCATATTCGATTAATTGGATACAAATTGATTCTTTCACCGGTTCTCCATGTTTGAAACCTTATCGTTCCTAACCTTTTGAGAGTCTTCCTAACTAACATTTCAACTGGACTTCGACTAAAAGGGTTGCCTTGATTCTTATTGTACTCGGTCTCAAGTAATTAAACAAGGAAAAAAAAGAATACAAATCTCTTGAATTATTTTGAGCGAAGAACAACAATTCCTAAAAAAAAACCTCGTTTACAATATGATCCATATTACACACACACACATTAAACTAAGTTAAAATCTATCAACATCATGGAGCATGAGTTTTTTTTTTTTGAACAATATGGAGCATGAGTTAAGCATATAATTTATTGCTCTTTCTTTTGATTGAGCATCGATACTTATCGTGTCTCATTGGAGGTGTGCAAAACAACATAGCCACTGCTCTTCGGGGCAGCGAGGTTCCAGCTTCAAAGGAGCATCATTGCATAATCCAATACTAATTCCTCTGTCCGACCTTCAAAATCTGAGATTAGAGCAGAAAGACTCTGGGTGTTACCCAAAATTCAAACGACTTGATCCAACAATCAATGGACTCTGAAACAAGAAGTAACCAGACCAAAATGGTTCACATATAACCACCAAGTCTATCCTAAAACTATAAGGAAATAGAGATAGTAAATCAATCTATGTTACCTCATGATGCACAAAATGAGTTTATGCATCACCTATCAAGTATTTAATGCAGTAATTAAGAAGGACATTCAGCACAGAAATTAAGTGGTTCGGTCAGGGTAACCTACTCCACTATGAAGGGCTACGGTGGCCTGATTGTTTTATTGTTCAAGGAGTGTAGAGTGCTTAGATGTGAGTGACATGTGAGAGATATCCCCTTGTGTAGGTGAGACTTATAATTTATAGGGTCCTCCTAACAGATTGAGGCATCTTTCTGTATCAGGGGAGGTAGTTCGGTGGTGCTAGTGCCCTTCTTGTCCAAAAGAGACAATTTCGTGAAGGTGGTAACGTGCGTGTCCCAAGTAGATCCCTTCGTATGTTAGTTGTGGACTGATTCTTTCGTGATAACGCAGCAGACCTGACTACCTTAAGATGGCGTGACAGACTTGACCAAATCTCCTCCAACCAGTGGTGGGCTTGGCCCATATGTTTGAGATAGGCATAGTCTATGATTCTGGGCTGTGTCTATATTTTTGCACTGAGCCTCTGAGCTGGGCTGGTTTGTAATTCTAGACTGGGCTTCTGAGTTGGGCCTGGTTTAGGCCAACCCCGTTATTTGCCCTCATACCTCGAGCCTAATGGAATTTGGGGGAGAGGGCATCAGTACGAAATCTTGTCCTTGTCCTCTTTTGGCAGCTGAATTTTGATAAGGGAAAAGTAGACACAACAGGGCTGTAAAGGAGGAGTTGTGGGTGGCTCGAGAGAGTTGCACCCCATGAGACCGAGTTTCTAAAGACTGAGGCTATTTGCGTGAAAGTAGAGGCAGAGTTAGACGAGCTTTTGGTGACTCGCGATAGAACCATTAAACTGGAGATTGAGTCTGCTTGCGTGAGAGAAAAGACAAAGGTAGGCTAAGTTTCTACAACTCGCTAGAGAGCTGCTAAGCTGGAGACTGAGGCTACTTGCGTGAGAGTAGATGTAGAGTAAGGCCTAGCTTTTAGTGACTTCCGAGAGAGCCGCTAAGTTAGAAATTGAGGCTACTTGCGTGAGAGCAGATACATAGTTAAGAAGCTTCTAAAGACTTGTGAGAAAGCCGTTAAGCTGCAAACTGAGGGTGATTGCATGAGAGTAAAGGCAGAGGTAGGCCAAGTTTTTGGCAACTTGCAAGAAAGCCACTAAACTAGAGACTGATGCAACTTGCGAGAGAGCAAAGGCCAAGCTTTTAGCGACTCGCAAGAAAACCACTAAACTAGAGATTGAGACTACTTGCGTGAAAGTAGAGGCCGAGCTTCTAGCGACTTGCGAGAGAGCCGTTAAGCTGAACACTAAGGTTGCTTGCATGAGAGCAAAGGTAGAGTTGGGTCAAATTTTGGTGGCTCACTCTCCTAAGAGATAAATAGGAGTAAGGAGATGGTAATGAGGGTAGCCAGAAGCGAAGGCACTAGATGCGATAGAAAGGGTGACGCCGGGCGTCAGAAGCATTACTGGACGAGCTGGGCACGCGATACAGGTGTGGGCGGCATCACAATGGGAGACACACCCAGGCGAGCGAGCAGGCAACAAGGTGGGGGCTACGAGGCGCATTGGCTGGGGAGTGGACACTGGGTGTGTGGGCGCACGGGCGCAAGTGCTGGGTGTTCGAACACTGGTGTTAGGTGCCATGGGTGAGGGCACTGGCATTGGACGCTGCGGGATAGGGCTCTATGCATTGGGCATCGCAGACAAAGGTGACGGGTGCAACTGATGAGGGCCAGGACGAGGCCAGCGCTGGCGCTAGGTGATGTGGGCGAAGGCGCTGGCTGTTGGCACTGTGCGCCTAGCTGGTGGTTGGTGCTGAGTGCTGGTAGAGCATTAGAAAAGCTTGAAAAAATGACAAAACTTTGAATGACCGTAACTTGGCCCTCAGTTGTCCATTCGAGGGGAATTTGTTTTTAATCCATATTTTTTTTTGAGATCTACTATAATTAAATAGCCTGCGACATTTTGGTCACCGAATTTCCCTAAAAAATGTTTGTTTTTCACTAAATTTGATTTTCAACCATAAATTAGTTAAGAAGTAGAATTTTCACGTGTCTCGCCTGACTCTAGCGACATCCTCAACATTCTTGTATTTTCTGGGCTTTTGATAGTAATTATAGTATGTTCTTTGACAGATACTTCAAAACTGAGCGCAGACCTTTTGTGAAGGCCGCTATAATGACTTTGTCATTTGGTTCTTCAATCTGGAGTACTTCCTCGTTAAAACGGGTGATAACTTCTTATGCTTTTCATCTCGGTCCTATTTGATGCTGAGGAGGTGGGTGGTAGGTATCTGTGTCGGCATCCCTTAATGAAGTGTGAGACAAAAGACTTACTTAGTTCAACGAAAAAGTCAATGGAAGTCGGGGTAAGCTTGGCATACCATTGAAGAGTAGATCCCTTTAAGGGTGGTAGGGAAAGCCTTGCACATGAATTCGTCTAGTATGTTGTACAGCTACATCACAAATTTATAAGTGTCAAGATGGTCCAGTGAATCTTTAGAGTCATCAAAAGTTTCCACAATTGGCATCTTGAACTTTGGGGGAAAAGGGTAGTTGGCCACATCAGCAACAAAGGGCGTGCCAATATGCCTCATTTCAGGTCCTCACGTTTTCATGGCATTAAAGACATCGTCGAGTTGGTTTTGCACTTCTTTGATTTTTTCATCCTAGTGGTTGAGGGGCCATTTTGAATGGTCATTGTAGTGGCTCTCGTAGTCCACGTACTAGCTTTTTCTCTCATCTTTTTGGAAATAAGGGTCATCAGCGTGGAAGGATGGAGTCGGCTCGCAAGGAGGGGGAGCCAAGGCGCCCTGGCGCTGAGGAGGGGCGTATTAGCATTGCAAGGGGTGCCTTGGCACACTGGACAAGGCAAGGCGCGTTGGCGCGCTGGTCAAGCCATCTGTGGCACTGTCCCTCTTGGCTGCTAGGGCACGACTCCAGGGTCCCTAGCGAACATCAATTGGAATATTTGTTGGTTTTAATTCATCAACAACTGCATAGTCTCAAATGTAATTTTTAATAGTTCGGGGACGAGATTTGCTGGTTGGGACATGACCTCCTCCTGATGTTGTTTATCATTTTTTTTTGTTGATTCATGGATTTAGTCGTAATGGTCATAAGAAGAAGAAATATAGTAGAGTGAAAATTAAATTATTCCCATAGACGACACCAAACTGATAACACACAAAATATGTTTATGTACCACCTGTTAAGTATTTAATACAGTAATTAAGAAAAAGACTCAACACAAGCACACACAAATTAAGTGATTTCGCCAGAGTGACCTACTCCACTATGAAGGACTACGGTGATTTGAGTGTTTTATTATTTAAGGAGTATAGGATACTTAGAAGTGAGTAATATGTGAGAGATGCCCACGTTGTGTAAGTGAGACTTACAATTTATAAGCGTCTCCTAACAAATTGAGACATTTTTCTCGTAACATGTGAAATAATTTGGTGGAGGTGGCACCTTTCTCATAACAGGCAAGACAATTCTATAGAGGTGGTGACGTGCACGTCCCAAGGAGATCTCTTAGCATGCCAATTGTTGACTGAGCATTTTCATGATGGCACGACTAACCTTTCTCCCTAAAGATGCGTGGGTGACCTAACATAGCTTCCTCCATCAAGTGGTGTGCTTGACCCGTGTGTTTGAGGTGAGTCTAGTTTGCGATTCTGGATCTGGTCTTTATTTCTACATTGGGCCTCTAATCTGAGCCTAATATGTAATTCTGGACTGGACTTCTAAGCTGGGTCTGGGCCAGGCCCGTCAAGAAATATAGATTATTTTTTGGCAGAATATATTATACATCTGGACAAAGGTTATCCAATCTCAGTTCAACGAAAACCTATTCAGTCGGCAACCAAACAACCTCACTGATATAAATGTTTAAACTTCAACAATTGGACAATGTTGTTGGCATTATAAGAACCACTAATTTCTAGTACCCCTTTGCCTTTCTGCAACTTTACTATCATTCTCTTCCTGCTTCAGTGCAAGGCTGAGGATATAAAGGTGTAGTAAGAAACAAGAAACAATGATTACAGTTTCTAAGTAACTCTGAAAACTTTCGGGACATCAATAACTCAGCATAACTTTCATGACACAAATCAAAAACTAACAAAGGATTTTAAGGACCAAAGTAGAAGTACTTTAAGAGCAACCACAACCATTCAGACAAATTGAATAAGCCGATTTAAGCCAATTTCTGAGACCAATTCCATCCACCTGCATATGTACAAGTGTTATTTAAGATCATGAGTTACTTACAAAACCATGCAACAAAGAAAAGAAAGCTGAGTTCCAGCAAAACACAACCTTAATAATCAAATGGCCATCCATCGTGAGCCATACCAATCTGTTCATAAGTGCCTGTTGAGATATTTCCTTCTGGGTGTTGATAAGTGGTTCGGTTTGATGACCACAAAGGCGACGATAATGGATTTCTCCCATAGGTGTTTGTTGAGCTACTTCCTCCTGGGTACTCACTGTTGCTACCGCTGCTGCTTCCAGTCCCAGTGCTTGACCTCCCATCACTGGGAACACTACTTGGACCTAGTAGAGGCAGCCCAAGGCGGCAAAGGGGGCACGAGTTGGTCCTAACCAACCAACGAATGATGCAAGCAGAATGGTATATGTGATGACATGGCATCTGCCTTGATGCAGAGCCCAACTCAAATTCATTTGTACAAACTGGGCAAGCTAAATTGGTCTTAAGATGCTTCTGTGTGATTGTAACAGTAGGCATAGCATCAATTGCAGACCAAGGTGCTGGGGGTGGACTCTGCCAATCGTTCATAGTCAGCTGTTCAATCAAATCATGCAGTCATGGTCCTGCAAAAAAGATACCAAAGTCAGCTTACGGCATCCCAATTCCCCGACTACCATTGAAAAAGAACTCGAATGCATCATTCTCAGACATCCTGACAGGAGTTTGTCCATGGAATATGGACTTGAGCCAAGAACCATAGTGTGTTAAGGGGCCAGACCAAGTCTCGCCCTTATGTCATAGTTGGGGTTTCTTCCCATCGTCTGTCTCATAACAGCTGCAAAAGCATCCATAATCCCAAACCTGGGGTTGGAGAAAGGTTCAATAAATCCAAAATCAGAACCACTTCCCAGATGAAATCCTACCCTTTGCCTAGTACCCACCACCTCATTGAGTTCTTGTACAAAGCCTCCATTGAAATATGCACAAACCAAATCACTACATCGAGCCAAACTGGCTGCATGCATTGGTAGCACCATTGCATGTCTCTGCCACTTGACATCCTGTCTTGCTTATAAGTTATAATTTTCTTAAACCAGACCCTATATCTCATGGCCAAACACCTGAATTACTCTAAGGCCCAGAGTTCAAAGACTACTAAATCGACAGAAATACCTGGTTCAAAAACTTCAAAGAACGAAAAGCCCAAATTACAAGCTCAAGGTAATAACGCCGATTAGATGATTGCTGAATTCAAAAGTCACAAAATTTCCAACAATGAATTTTCAGCTCTTATATCGAAAACCTACTTTAATACCGCCACACCCACAATAATCTGCATCACAGAGAACACATTCTAAACTGAAAATGAAAGTACTTTGAGGACAGTGGGCAGCTGCAGAAACTCTTCAATAAATGAATGGATCAAAAATGAAAAAATATCTAGTGCAAATCTATCAACCTATCATTACAACCGCATCCCTAAATAATATACACTTGATTTAAACCTTAAAACAACACACACCAACTAAAATCAAGCTTTCAGGATTTTTAAGCAAAAAGAGAGTCGAGTATAAAACCAAAGATGCCACGAGAATATTTGTCCAACAAGCTTCCAAATCCTTAAACAATTGAAATGGACATGAGAAGAAAAAAAAAAGAAGATAAATGCGTTTTTTTTTAAAAACATGGCAAAAACTCTCAAGAAAGGGGCATCAATTTTAAGAGTGCATTATAATTTATAAACATGAATTTGAAGTGAGGAAAAAGTAATCACTAGCCAGCAAGAAAATCACAATGTACAACCTGGTAACTAAGACAAATTGATATGAACACACACGTGCAACAACATTGAAACTATAATCCAATAATTGGAGCATAAGCTCTTGAGTTAAGAAGACAGAAACATCAAACGCAAAAGAATCTACCCGAATAGCATCAAATCATTTTCTTTTGTCAAACGATAGGTCTATAACCAGTCCACATCTCCCCACCACGGTTCAAAGTTGCATTTTAGGAGCATGTCTAGATTAGCCAAACATAGAAATGTCTTGGAAGCACTTCCGAAACGCAATGAAAATGTTGTGTCTTTATAGAAACAATGGAAAATATCTGGAAAAGTTATTATTTTAAAGGCCTAATGTGATTTTTTGTTTGGTTCTTCAACAATCAAAATATATCCAGTTTATCAACAAGCTTACTAGTATTTATTACCTAAAACTGTCATGAAACATTGAGCATTCATTCATGGCATAATGGAAACATATGATTGTGAAGGTAAGAATTCTGTCATAAATCTCACTTAAATGCCCAACAGAGAATATCTTGGTCATGATAAGAAGTTTCAAATAGTGGACTGAGTATTTCTCATTCTATGCATACACTTCCATTTTGTAGTTTGCATCATCTACAAGTTATAGCTGTAAGCAGATAGTACTTGTCACCAGTAAGGTTTCAAAAATTGCCATAGAGAGGCCAGAAGCATATACCTCTACGATCCGCTAAGGCCAATGATATCTCAACTCTCAAGTCATATCCAAGATGTACGGTATCGTACTGATTCCCCATTATTTGACATCATGCTTTAAATAGTTTGTAATGCCAGAAACACATTTTTATTGGCAGTGCCTACACCCAACTTCTGGTTCTAAAATAAACAAGGTAATTCGGTTTAAATACAATTTGAAGCCATTCCATTTAAATACAATTTGAAGCCATTCCATGTTGCACCATCAAGTTTTTATACAGCTCCAGGGCAAAAACAAGAAGTTAATCTCCAATGGAGGAGCAGAGCAAATCATTTTTGAATTTGAAATTACAGTTCCATAAGGTAGAAGCAAAATCACTATCCAATCCACCGAACATAAGTGTCAGGAATCAGGGCATACCTTTCTTGTCGAACGATCAGATCCAACACCTCTAGTTGATCTTCAAATTCAATACGCAAAATGATTTGGGTAGATAAACTCCAAAACCCCATAACATTGGGATGAATTCCCTACTTTTTTTCATTGAGATAGGAGTTCAAATTTAGACAAACTTCAATTTAGAGTGAGACTCTTAAATGGGTTCATGTCAGTTTACTCGCTTGTTCCACAAAAACAAACCACAAGGGAATAGTCTCAACCATTTCGATGAAAACAAGACACGTTTCAGGTTTCACCTGAAAATCTGCATCTACAAAAGTATATACTAACATTTCGTTCCTTATCCAACAAAAAACGAAAACTTTCCGCCGAAAAGAAACAGAAACTTGTTCCATGCTCCTCCAACTCTCGATTAACCGGAATTAACCTGAGTAACATCCTTTTTAGCATGCAATCGAACCGCAGTTCCACTGAATTATAAAAAATTCGAACACACAAAACTAAATCGGTATATGCGTCCCGTGCGCATAATATAATCACAGATCAAGTATAATATAATAGAAATTAAACGGAATTCAGACTTAGTTGAAAACCCAGAAGAGAATAAGCTTGAATAAGTGATGAATCAAAGAAATCGGGAATCGAAAATGCGGTGAACTTACCACCGGCGTAGAGATCCATGTGTTGGCGATGGACTCTGCCCAGAGAGAGAGAGAGAGAGAGAGAGTGAGAGAGAGAGAGGGGAGAAAATTTTGACTATAATGGGAGAGAAACTTTTGTCTGACGACTACACACCAGGTGGACCGATCCACGTGGTGTGCGTTCCCAGTCATGTAGTGTGCCCAATTGTTTTGCGTCGGAGTGTAATGCTCCGTTTGTCGGGACAATGGAAAGGCATAAGGATACATTTTTTATCTTGACGAAAAATAAAAATAATATAATTTTTTTCTTTTATATTTGATTGGATAAATGAAAAATAAAAATAATTATTATTTTTTTTTAATTTTTTTTATACTTGTTAAAATTAGAGGTGATAATCGAATCGTGTCGTGTTAAATTCGTATTGAATTATAAAATTATGAACATTTTATATTTTTTGTTCGCGTGTAAAGTCATTTTCAAGTCGTGTCGAGTTATAAGCAAGTTTGTGTCGAGTTATAATCAAGTTTGTGTCATAAAATTCATATCGAGTTCGAATAGTGTATCGTGTTAAGTCGAAAATTTTCACGCCTAATTAAGATGAAAAAAATATTTTTTTAATTTTAACTTTTTATTTTTAAATTTTTTAATATATATTTTATCATTGTATTTTTATATGAAATTAATGTACACATAATATATAGACAAATAAGATACATCTCAACACAAATAATTAATTTTTCATCTACTTTTCGTCCGATTTGGGGGGGATTAATTTTAATGAGTTGGAAAGAAAGTTAATTCATTCACTTTTTCATCATTTCTATTTTCCTTCCTTACTAAACATGATGTTTTATTTATTTCTCCAATTTTTCATCTATCCAACTTTCCATCATACCTAACAGAGCATAAGTTGAAAATTTCAACATTTTTTTTTCTATTGAAAAAAGGGATAGGCTACAACATGAGAGTCATCCGTAAAATTATGGGGGTTTTGGTCGCGCTTGTTTTTCTTTTTGAAAATGAATCTAATTGAGTTAGCATAATAGTCAATCATCAAGTCCTAATGAAAATTTAAAGACTTAAACTTCTAATCTCAGAGTGAAAAGTTTGATCGATACTTCATTGGACCACCCTATTAAGTGGTGTAGCACACAAGTTTCAAGATAAGAAAATAACAGAAATTTTGATATTTAATTGTCCAACCTAACCCAATAAATGAGCAATTATTATTGGGATGAAATGTAAGAATTTGGTTGGGATATTTAATATAAGAGTAACGCTATATGACTTTAAAAAGTAGAGTTGATAAGAGTAGCATTACTCTTAATATAAAGCAATATTATTGAGATCTAAAATTTAAATTTAATTTGCTAAGATATAAATTTGACATAAATAGCATTACAATAACAACAAATATTGGGTTTTTTTTATTAGCAACCATGAGTTTGACAAAAATTCATCTTTTAGGGAGGCAAAAAATACCTCAAATTTATATATATTTTTAAAAGTAAATTTAGACAATAAAACTCGAATGGATGAAGAAAATTACACATACCAGTTTTTATAATTTATTTCTCTCTATGTGATAGATGGAAAAAAGAGAAAAAAAAAATTACAATAAGAATAGAGTCAGCACAATGGCTAAGCAATTGAAATTACCATATAATGCCCTTCAATATTGTAGGTCCCAAAATAAAATTTTAGATTCAGATTTAATTAATAAATTAGGTTTGTTAAATTTAAATTGAGTTATGTTGAGAATTATTTTTATGTTCTCAATGACGTAATAAAGTACCACTCTAGTGTCTATTATTGAGACTGAACTTTATTATTTATATATTTTTTATTACCAGTGATTGCACTAATATAAAATATAATAATTTTTAGTCTTATAATTAAATTAGATTTGTCATTATATCATCTTTTAAAATTTAAACAAGTCAGTTATATTATCTATTTAAAAAATTATGTTAAAGAAGTTTGAATATAAAAATCCAATTAATACTTTTGCATTTTAAGAGGCATGAAATAATTATTAAATAATTATATATTTAAATAATTATGAATATTATGAATTGGTAATATCTTGTATTAATAATGGCATGATATAGAGTTTGAGAGAGACTGGGGTAGTTGGGTAGGGCTGTTAATCACTCGAGTTTGGCTTGAGCTCGACTTGTTTAGATTCAGTTTGTTTTCTAAACAAGCT